ATATTCCAAGACATACGATTGAATGATATTTTTTCAAAGGAAGAATTAAGGGCTCTTTTCCTGGGTATCTACCTTAGAATTATTGGTAGCTACGTATAGATCTTATTTTCTAGAAATAAAAAATTGAATAGTTACCGGGATTCATATTTTGATTTTTTAGAAAATACTCATAAATCAAATAGGGAGGGGCCTGTTTTACAGGAATTCAGAATGAGCAGAGTGTTAGGGGTTACTCTAACTCCTATCGATAAAAAACCCCCGACCTTTCCCTCCCCACAAAAAATCCAACGAAGTAACACATTTAACAGGCCCTAGCAAAGCGGGAGCTCAAACAAAGAAATTCTTCCTAGGACGATTTCGATGTGCCTTACTTTCTTTCCTATCTTTATTTTTCCTATGCATCCTTTCTTTTCTTGATTGGTAAACCCAACCAGTGATTTACAACAAACAAGTCTTTGCTAAAAGAAATCAAAGCGGAACGGAACTGCATCATAAACAATAAATGAACTTCAAATTTGGGGAGAAAACCTTCATTTTTGCTTTTTTTTCGATTGGATGCGTGGTCGTTAGTTTTGGGTTTTTTATTTGGGGCCACAAACTGATTTTCCCAACTATAGAAAAGGGTTATTTAGTCAATCCCCTGTGCGTACTGGACCAACTTGCATGTATTTTATTGATATTTAGATACCCACCAGCACCCGCTAGGCTAAGAATCTTTCTCCTTCTTTCCTTTATGTTGAGCCTTTTATCCTGTCTTTACCTACATGGTGTAGACGGGGGTTTGATATTTGTCTTTCTCCTTTTCTCCCTCTTGGTTATCTCATATTTCCCTTTTGACTCCGCACTATTTTTTCTTTTTATAGGATATTTCCTAGATCAGGGACTGGCGAGGTAGGGGCTCTACTTATCCTTTCACTTACTAGGATGTTTTGTGCTATAATTTTGTTTAGAAAGGGGTCAGTCCAGTGTGACCCCTAAGCACCTCTTATATGTCGTCCGTCTGATTTATGTTCAAGCCTTGTTTGGTTTTTTCGCTTCGGTGAAGTCTATTTTGCAGACCCCGTTAAGCTAGCCGGCCTTTTGTCCGGCGCGTGCATAATCTATATTTGCTTAGCAAAGCGCACTACGCGGGGGGTATTCCGTGGCTTTTATCATATATTATATAATAAGCATGAGTATCGGCATTATCTTATACCCAACTGAAAAATCAACCTTAAGGGAAATCCCCCCCCCCCGGGTTGTAATCTTTTCTTTGATGCATGTCTGGGGATTTTGCCGCTTGTGGTTTATAAGCCGTAGCCTCGGCCTGCCTGCCAACAAACATCAAGCCTTAACTAGTATTTTATTCGGTGTTATATTTTTTTTGGCCAACCTACCCGCGCTAGAGAGGCTTGAAAGGTGGATCGAGGGAATCGACCTTCTCCTTTTATTATTGGGTTTGTATCTCCTATTTGAATCAAACTCATGAGTAGGGGTGCTTCGGATCGGGAGTAATCACTAGTGATAGGGAAAAAATAGTGAGGAAGGACAAAGAAAAGAGCGATGCCTACATTAAATCAATTGATTAGTCATGGTAGAGAAGAAAAACGGCGCACGGACTGTACTCGAGCTTCGGATCAATGTCCCTAGAAGCAAGGAGTACGCCCGCGTGTTTCAACGAGAACACCGAAAAAACCAAATTCAGCTCCACGTAAGATAGCCAAAGTACGATTGAGCAATTGACATGATATATTTGCTCACATTCCGGGCGAAGGTCATAATTCGCAGGAACATTCTATGGTCTTAATAAGTGGAGGTAGAGTTAAAGATTTGCCAGGTGTTAAATCTCATTGTATTCGAGGAGTCAAGGATTTGTTGGGAATTCCGGATCAAAGAAGAGGCAGATCAAAATATGGTGCAGAAAAACCCAAATCGATATGAATGGAGGATGCCTCTGGAACTGATTTTTCTCAGTCAGGAGAGGTACGAAGTCACTCGACTTATAATTCTTTAGAATGGAATATGTGAGTCTTTATTAAAAATTGAGATTAGAGCGAGCTCTATCAGTCCAATAGAAAGACAAGCCATACAAGGAAAGGAAAGGAAGCCATAGAGGCAAGTATAAGTGCAGTTCCTATTGAGTCAGATCTCGCTAATATGGGCATTGGGGGATCCCTTTTATATAATATAGATATTATATAGTATGATTGTAGGCATCTTTCTTCAAGTCTCCTGCTCGTACATTAACAAGGAAAGTTGTCCTTAAAAGAGCTGAACAGTTAAGGAATCAGTCCCAACAACGTCTACATTAACAAAAGATACTGTAACAAGAAAAGTGCTTACTCCACCAGCCAAAAGCTCCTCCTTTCTCAACCGAGTCTGGCTATCTTCCTGAGACTGGTATCTTTACTGAGGGTATTACCCCAGCAACGGAAACTCTCACTGCGGTTATGAAATCTCGATGCGCTACCACCGCTTTATTTAAGAAAAAACTAAACTTGAGCTGGAAAGCAGAGGAAAACTGATCGTTGTTGAGCTTGCCGTAAAAGAGTCAGATGTTGATTATATAGCTGCTCCGATTCCTTCATCGATCGAGAACGAGAAGGAAGTCTTTTATTACGAACAAGCGCTAAAGAAGGGGGGTGGGATCTCTCCTAAAAGAAAGAATTGACCTCGAGCCTATCCTACATATTCTTATTGTTCCGTTCCTGACCCTCAGATCAGTTGGCAGATCGAATCCCACGAGTACTTTACTAAAAAAGGATCCGACTTTATAAGGCTTCTCGAACCAGACCAGAATCTTTGAAGCTCTATGGGAAGACTGACTCTAGGTACACAGAAAGACCAAGCTAAGACAATCTCACTTCGAAATAGGGAAATTTTAGCCCTTGAAAGCAGCCCACTTCGGAGTCTCTCACAGGAGAAGGACTGACCTTTTCTCTCATTCCTATCGAGAAGACTAAGTCAGGGCGAGCTCTTACTTAGAGAGAGTTAGTTGGGTAGGGTCACTCTAAGATCAAGAAATCATGAGTCACGAGAGAGATTCTCCACACGAACGACCTATCAGGTTATAACTTACATTGGTGAATCGGACCAACACCTATCTTACACCAACAAGGAGAAGGAGTCGCTTTTGTTACGCAGTTCAAAAGCTTAAGCCTTCCTACATATGCGGGCCCACCGGTTTAGTTTAAAGAGTCCTATATCCGGACTCCCCCTAGACCTCTGTCTGGCCTAGGGAACTTCTATAAGCTCGAGAGCTTTTGTCTCCTCACAGCGTAAGTGGCTCACCTCTCCCCGGAAACAAACCAAAGCAAGCAAACTAACGACGATAAATTCTCATGGTACGTCTACTAGTCCCTTTGATTCCCATTCGTGCACGGTGATAATAAAAAAAGTCGTAGGCCGCCTTTTGCCCCGAATTTTCATTTACCAAGGAATCACGGTTTGTGGAAAGCTCCTCCAGAACCTTCGCTATAATAAGGCGTTTTTCCGGGGAATCCGCCGCTTCCCCTTATTTATGCCTTTTGCTGCTCCACAATGCTCTCTCCAAAATGAAAGTTAAAGAAGCCCGTGTACCCACTCTTCTTTCCCCCTCATTGCTGGGGGCCTCGTCCTCAGGGACTATACCTTTAAAAAGGATAAACTTAGAAAACAAATAGAATAAAAAATGCCATCATTAATGCAAACAAGGCAGTAGCCTCGGTTAGAGCAAAGCCCAGGATTGCATATCTAAATAACTGTTTTGCCAATGATGGATTTCTTTCCATGGAATGAATTAATAAACTGAATATGTTTCCAATACCTACAGCAGCTCCCGTTGAAGCAATTGTAGCAGCTCCGGCACCTATTGATTTTTCACCTTCTAACATCTCGAATGGAGAAAAACTCGTCACGCTCTTTCATTCACGATTTTTTGTTCTCGTCGCTTCAAAACCTCGTTCCTTTTCTCTTGGACATCTCACTTGAAATGCAATAAATGCATTCATTCTTTTTAGTAAAAGAAAGTCTCTCACAGATAACCTATTTGTAGATATGGGTCCGTAATTCTATTATTATATTATAATATGGTGGTAATAGTTCCTATATTTGCCTATCGAACAACAAGTCTTAATGTATCTTCGACTTGATACTACCAGCTTAGATACATGTATCGGATGAGGCGGAAACCCATACTAAAAATCAGAAAGGAAGACCCATGCATCAATCAAGATATCTATCTATAATATAGCATACCTCAGGTTGGATTCAACCACTTAGGATGATGATCTGCAAACCCAAACCCCATGATTTTATGCTCTGTCAGTCTTCCCTCTTCTAGCTATTCGCATGCGTCAATCAATCATATTCGGCAAAATTACCTGATAAAGTATGCACCAAGGATCCATTAGATTAAACTAAGTGCATGATAGACCGATTCTTATATCCTTTGAATGTAAACACTGATTAGATTATGATTATGTAAATGGATCCCCATTAAGTCGGGCCTGTGGACAATGTTTTAATGGATCACCCCTGATGCCTGATGGGAAAAAGAAAAACATGAGCCCAATAGGGTACCTCATAGGGCAATCATTGTACTTAGGGTCACTCTCCCATCTGTTATCTTCATTGTATCGATTCAGTCTGGTCGATCAGGAGAGAGAGTGCGAGAGAGATTGAAATAGATATGCCCAACCTATCCATATGTGCTTGTTGAATCAATTGTATTCCGATAGCGCGACAACTCATGTTGTTTATTCCTTTCTTAATCCAGCATCCAGCAGGTCGCTGAATATGGGCATGCCCGAACGCAAAAAAGGCTATCCGAGATACTCTTTGGTTCCCTCCCAAGCAAGGCTAGAATAAAAGGAGGAACTCCCGACTCAAATAGGTGTGATATCGAAGTGGACTCAATTGTCCAATATCTTCTCTTATGCTATTATTTCATCGAGTACTCAAAACAAGATGAACAAGCGAGAGGAAAGAACCTCATATAAGCAAGAAATTTGGTCTACTCGCTTTTGGCTTGGGCTTTGCGAATGGAACTTGCATTCTCAAAAAACAGGGCTCGTTCACCTGGCTTCTCACTTCGGAATTCTAGAGGAATGGTTGACCTAACGCATGAACCAACTATCCGAGATTCTGCCTTCCGCTTTGAAAACATTGGGAAGGGGTCGGGCTTTCAGCTGATTCGAAAGGGATGGTCAAGCCAAGGAAAGATTCGATTGCCGGTCTTTAATGCAATAGTTCGGCAGGCAACCAATGGAAAGATTCGATAGGGATTTGAGCTTGCTTTTATGATTCTACAGGCAAGCGGGAAGGTCAAGTGGGTTTTGTTATATACACAATGTCATGGATGGATTAAATAATGGAAGGGAAGGGCTTATGAACCGGGAAGTTACCCCTTCCTTGGTAGGGGGCATCAACATAGCTCTTGTCAGGTAGAGAATACACCGTCACTGATAACTTTCCTGCTTGACTTCCCGCTACACCCCTTAGCCATCTCTTTTCTTTATCATCCTAGAAAACACTCCTTATCCTTAGGCCGAGAGAAGGCATTGGTATGCATTCTTTCTTTTGCTTGTAAGGGAGTAATAAATTTTCTTTTTCGTCCTTATTTTTATTGCATTTAGTGGATGTGTGACTTTACTATGCTTAAGGCATGGAATTTATTTACCAACTTTCGTCCAATTGCCTCCAGCTGCAGCCTTCCAGTCTTATATATAAGTAGTCAAATCCCCTTGTTATCGTATAGCGAAGACTAAGAATGTAGAAGGTATGGAATGATTACAGAATGGCTCAAGCAAAAAAGTCTTGCCCGAACACTCACTGCAAAGACGATTAACCAATCTTAATAAGAAGGGATTAGATCAAGAAAAGGAAATGGGACCTTAACTTATTAAGAGGCTAGGTGAGGACCTTCAATTAATCAAAGATAAATCAGTCCTTGATGGATTCACCTTCCTCTTCTATCCTCAGTACTAGAGAGAAACGAATTCCATACGCCCGATCGAAGCATTTTTTCTGTTGTTGGTGTTGGAATTTCATGAACGCGGAGCCAAAACGCGAATGAGTTCAGTCGAACAGCGTGCGTATATAGTAATTTGAAGTTGGAAGAGCCTGGTATTTCCTGACGTACTGGAGGGAGTTATAATATAACATTTGAATTTCCCAAAAATTAATTTCCAATTTCCAATATGTTGGAAACAATAGAGCATTGGGTCAGATTTTTTACAGAGAACAACAAGGTGTTTTATTTTTTTGTGGTTCTCCTTTGTATCCAAGGGCTCTCCCTCGTCTATCTTATTCTAGCCATGTTTATCCATCGAAAGGATTGCTATATCTATGGGGGGTTATGTTATATTCCAATATTCTTGGGGAGGAGTTGAACTCAAGATCAGTCACCCGACTGACCATTATAAGGTACCTTCTACTCAGGGAAACCAGCCCCCGTCCCCGCCTTTAGGAGATTGAGCAGGTAAAGTGAACCTGTACCCCGTATGTAATCATGGGCAGTTTGAGGAACCGGGTTTAAAATAAAAAGTTACGATCAGAAGTAAATTTGAAGTCCATGTAGGTGCGGGCTAGACCGGTGTCCATCCCGACCACGGGATGTTGGGCTTCAACAAGAAAGTCAAGCATCAATTATATCAAGCTGGTGACTTAGTAATGAAGCGCGTCATCCTACCACAAGGTGATCCCAGGGGAAAATTGACTCCCACATATGAAGGGCCATTTGTAATCAAGAAGATATTTTCTGGCGGTGCTATGATACTTACCACCATGGACGGTGAAGATTTTCCGCACCCTGTGAACGCGGACATAGTCAAAAAATACTACGCATGAAAGAGACCATCTAGGTTGACCTACCTAGGAAAAAATAAGGGCATCCCGGTGAACCAAAAGGGTTCGGGAAAAAATTAGGGATATAGATATAAAAATTGTACACCCGGCAAGTCGAAAACCTGAAAAGGTGTCTTGGGCAAAAAAGGGTATCCCAGTGGACTGGAAACCTGAAAGGGCGGTCCAGGAAAATGTTAGGTATTAAAGCATACGATTACGTCCCATTAGATCACCTACATACAACAAGCTTTGTTACCAACGTTAAGTTCGAAAGATACAGATCAATTCAATCAACTTCTTTTGACAGCGAGAGATGAGATGCTTGAAGACATAGGGGCAATAGAAGAGTTGAAACTCAATGGGATCGTTTCCACATAGTTGTTTTTCTCTGTTTTACTTTGTACTCTTTTCATTTTACGACAATTTCCTCTTACTAGGATTTCTGTCTCTTTGTACAAAATCGCTTGTTTATAGGCAAATTATCAATACAAGTCAAGTTCAAAATTCAAATTTTCTTTACTTTTTCTGCTTTGTTTGCAAAAACATCCAATGACTAAGTTGAGTGAACATAGGCATATGAATATGATTACTATTAGCAAATATATGCATAAAAACAGGAATAAGCATTTACTAAAGACTCTAGAAGTTGGGATAGCGTTCAAGTTGTCCACAAATCCCCAAAGAGAAAATCCTGCAGAATCATCTTCACAAGCTCATCCCTGAAAGATATATATATTCCCCAATAAGTCTAATATGCATTCAGACGAAAATTGGGGCATCTTCCAGCAGTTCAGATGATCATCTCCCCCAGTAGGTCCCCTAGCGTACAAGGAAGATTGATCATTTCCCCATCATACGATGGAAACTTCCTCAGCGCAACCTATGAAATTCCAATCCCCATCAAAAATTATATCCTTAATATCGTTTACAGGAATTTAATTCTCCAGCAGAGTTTATTTCTCCAACATTGTAAGATCCCTGGCAGACTTCTTTTCTCCAACAAAGTCTATTTCCCCAACAGAGTTTATTTCTCCGACTCTCGCAGTTCCTCGACAAGATTCTCTTTCCCAGGCCAGATATCGTTCAGCTTTGTCCTCCCTAGAAAAGTTGACATCCATATCTGAAACTTGGTCAGACAGAACATCAGGGGATTATACATCTCTTTTGTCCCCAGTCAGGGTACACAAGAATCAAATCCTTCAAAATAAAGATGAACGACCAATTTTCCTAGATTTTTCTATCCTCAAGTAGAAGTCGAACATCCCCAACAGAGTATCCTCAAACAGAAAGTGTGAATCCCTAGCGAAGACATTCTAGACAAGATTGAAGATTCATATTCTTCATCCCCAGCAACAGTCACAGATTTAATTTCCCCAACCAAAGATGTTATACGAAGCTACCGTTGTCGTCGGTAACATCTTACATCCATACACCATTTACAAAATATCATAGCACATTCATAAGGAACGCATATAGCATTATCATTTATTTTGAGAACATCATTTCGCAATGCATTACATACATAATGACATTGTATAAAACTAACTTTGTTTTCTTTCAGGTTAGTTCACAACTGATAAACATTGTCAACAATTTCTCATCCTTCAGATACAATCAATCGGCGATTCATTCTGATGATCATTTGGATACAGTCAGGCGTAGACTCATCCCGATACATATTCTAGATATAGTCCAGTTATGATCAAGACATAGATCCATTTTGATACGCATTCTAGCACATCTTCTATATATACTCCAGATACGATCAAGACGTGGATCCATTCTAATGCTCATTCCAGTATATCTTCCAGATACAGCTGTTGTACCCCAAATTTTGACCTAAGATACCATCTCCAATCTGCATCATTGCATTGCAAGGGTTTTGACCTATTTTTATCAATTTTTTTAAAGCAGATTAAAATTCATAACTTTTTCAAGTCGAGAGCTGTTTATTTTTGAACGCTAAGTTTATTAATTGATCAATGTTAAAACAATGTTTATTAATTATTTATTATCTTAAATTTAATAATTGGAATTTATTTTCAGTTATTATATAATTGAAAGATTTATAAATAATATAATAAATATTGGAAAGGAAGTTCATTAATTGATCAACAATGTTATTTAATTATTTATTATCCTAAGTTTAATAGTTGAAATTTATTTTTTCAGTTATTATAATTTAGAGAATTATAAATAATGGAATAGATTGAAGAAAAGTTTATTGATCAAATGATGTTTATTTATTTGTTTATTATTCTGAATTTAAATAATTATAATTGATTTTCAGTTACTATATAATTTAAAGAATTATAAACGATAAATAAATAATTGGAAAGAAGAAAGAATTAATTGGTAAAATATTGGAATTTTATTTACTTTATTCTAATTATTACAATTGTTATTTAAATATTGTATTATTTACAAAATATTTACAATAACAATTATATAAAATGCTTAAAGTAAAATAAAAACTATTCTAATTTTTCCTAAATTCTAAATCTTCATCTTCTATCCAATGCTTCTTTGTCTGCTCATTTTAATTTTACCTGCAAAAAAATTAAAAGAAAAAAAGTCAGAGATAAAGAAATAATTAAAAGCAGAAAATTATTTTCAGTGTTCATCATTAAAAGCAAACGGCTGGAATCAGTTTTTACCCTTTTTGCAAATCGCGGGATTTCTCCCGGTTCACAAAAAGGGATGGATTTTATTTTCAAAATGAATGCACAATTTAAAGATGCACAAATTCATTTTGTTTTCAAAACTGCATAATTAAAATCAATTGCATTTTCAAAAAGTCCACTGCATATTTCAAACAACATATGCATCAATTCAATTGTTTGTCAAAATAGCATACAAAGAATTAACATCATATGCATAGCAACAACATATGCAAGTCCCATATGCAATGTACACAAACCAAAGCCAACGTAAACTATGCCAAGAGGTAAGAAGATGCCAAAACAATAGGCTCCTACTGTTACATTGCAAGTCAAAGAAGCATGCAGTTTTAAAATCAAATATGCAAGCATGAAAACATTTCCATTTACATCATTTTCCAGCACTATTGCTTTTTCAGAACAAAATACATAACATATCATTTTTTATGTCAATTTGTATTGAGGAGAGAGAAGAGAGATAGAAGTATGGTTTTGCAGGTTTTGGTTTAGGCAGGAAGAGGATAGAAACAGAACAACAGCATCTCATAAGAAAAAAGAAAGCATGAAATAAGAATACCAACAAACTGTTGGAGCAGTAGAGGTGCAGAAGGCAGAATATATTAAAATATACCATAAGCCTATAACGTAAACCAAGCCAGCTTATTGATATATACAACATTACAAACCCCTTCAAATACCAAGAGTTCATAACCTGCAAAAAAGAGCTTCCACACTAAAAAACTGTAAAATATACAAACCATTTCTCTCAAAGCCTAAAAAAAAACCCGCTATCAACATAAACACCTACTGCATAAACCATTTCAAAAACCTACTATCTCCAAAACCATCAAATATGGCTTAAACCA